CAAAAATAAGACAATGAAAAGTTAACTTTTTCAGATGGATGCAGTATGCTGTACAGCTTCTCAAATCTGGCCCTCTCTCTGAAGATCCAGGCAGAGCCCTATAGGCACTGATTTGTGCTCAGGTCCATTGCACTAGAAGAAGAAAAGGGTAGGATGCTGTGGATAAGTAATCATGTTTTCTGCTGCAGTGGAGAAAAGATGTCAGAATTATTACAAATGCAATTACTAAATGGTTAAGTGCAAAGTGGCTCTGTTGTTGCCCTGAACTCTAAGGAGGAAAAACTCTCTGCTGTTGGTTTGCTCATTGTATGTCCTAGTTATGCAGGCGTGTGCTAGGGGGTCGGGATTTGAGCCAGCATTTGGCAACTCCAGAAATCAAAGACTTAGCACTTCAACTCATTTGCAAGTACCATATAATGAGCTTTGAGAATTCCTCTTTAGTCTGAGATGCTCTCATAAGGAGTTCTGTAGTCCACGTATATTAAGGCAGCATAAATGACAGATGAGTCAAAGCCTTATTCAGTCTTTTCTCTTCTAAACCTGAAGAACAGTCTGACTTGACTGCCTGTGCTCTCCTGAAATTAATTACAGTTTTACTTTCACTACCTCAAGTTTGAGTGAAACTTTGTTTCTTATTCATCACAGCAGTGATCAAAATTGTCTTAAACAATATTGATCAGCAAGTTCAGCACTTTCTGGGTTCCAGAAGAAACCTTGTAGTTGGATTTGGGTTTTCCCCTTTCTATTTTCATATTTGAGGAAGATTTCAAATCTTGAGGCTGGCAGAAAACTCCATATAGAACTGGGATTCACCTTTGTGGAGATGGGAGATGTGTCCAGAGAGCTAAAGACAACAGAACCAAGCCAGATCATAACTGAGGTGTGATTCAAGGCTCTCTGTGTGAGCCTACAAACTGCATAGACCAGACGCTGGTATGGTTTTGTTCTCACGGGCCACATTTTGAAACTTTTAAAAATTTGAGATGCGTTTCAGACATCAGTTTTTAAGAGCACATGATATGACTTCCAATGTAGTCATCAGGAGCTTCAAATCATGATGTGTATCTGCTGGAGGGTAGAAAGGCCCTGCAGAGGGACCTGGACAGGACTGATCGATGGGCAGAGGTCAATGAGATGAGGTTCAACATGGCAAAGTGCTGGGTCCCACACTTTGGCCACAACAACCCCATGCACCACTACAGGCTTGGAGTAGCTGGAAAGCTGTGCAGAGGAAAAAGATCTGGGGGTGTTGGTCAATGCTTGTCTGAATTTGAGCTGGCAGTGTGCCCAGATAGCCAAGAAGGCATCTTGGCTTATCAGGAATAGTGTAGCCAGCAGGACCAGGGAGGTGATCGTCCCCCTGTACTCTGCTTTGGTGAGGTTGCACCTTGAGTACTGTGTTTTGCTTTGGGCTTCTCACTATAAGAAGGACATCGAGGCCCTGGAGCATCTCCAGAGAAGGGCTACGAAGCTGGCGAAGGGCCTGGAACACAAGTCCTGTGAGGAGTGGCTGAGGGAACTGGGGTTGTTTCCTCTGGAGAAGAGGAGGCTCAGGAGACCTTATGGCTCTCTACAGCTATTTGAAAGGACAGTGTGGGGAGCTGGGGGTCGATCTCTTCTCATGGATAACTTAGTGATAGGACTAGAGGAAATGGCCTCAAGCTGCGCCAGGGAAGGTTTAGGTTGGAAACAAGGAGATATTTCGTCTCAGAAAGAGCAGTCAGGCATTGGAACGGGTTGTCCAGGGAAGTGGTGGCATTACTGTCCCTGGTGGTATTCAAGGAAAGGTTGGACCTGTTGTTTAGGGACATAGTTTAGTGGGTGACGTTGGTAGTTGGGTGATGGTTGGACCAGATAATCTTGGAGGTTTTTTCCAACCTTTATGATTCTATGAAGTGGCCATAAACCAAGCTCATCAGAGTAACCAGCGGTGATGAGAAAGAACAGTCCTACGGGGAAGTAAGGTGACTCCCTGGGAGTCGAGCTATTTGGTTAGCAGCTATCTTCTGCAGCACAGACAACTCACTTCTCCAGTGCTTCAGTTACCTCTGCTCAATGGAGAGGAAATTTCCTTACCAGCAGGATCTGAGCTACCTGGAAAGTAAATGACATGAACTGACTCTTATGAGTAATACCCTTCTCTCCTGTGTGATGATGACTAAGGTCTCTGGAGTGGTAACAGTATTTTCTGGCATTGCCTCAAAATCAGGGCCGCAAGTGTCTGACTTAATATTATAGTCAGAAGCAACGGTGTGACTCTGTACTTAGCTACAGATCCCAAACTTTTCTCTGATTCACACCTTAATATTCCTGTAGATGGCAGTGGTACATGTTCTGGACACAGGACAACTCCCAAAGATACAAGTTGCCTTCTGGTAAATGGTGGTTATCGTTTTTGCTGTGGTAAGAAACATTTTCTTGAAGTTATTCTTTGGAACTTACAGCAGATTGTGTGACTGTCTGCCTACTACTAGCAATAAGTGTCCCTTCCTGAAATCCACTATAAGAGGAAAAGGGGGAGCTCTGATATTGGCAAAGTCCATCTAGAAAGTGGAGAGGATGAACATGAGCAAGCTATTCGGACCAATAAACTCCAGCCTGCTTCTTATGCAATTAGGTAGCTCACCCCCTAAATAGTCACATAGACAAGTGTCTTTTAATGTCCACTTTCTTTAATTAGACTGCATTTGTCTTTAACAATCCACAATCTGAAGTTAATGTTCATAATGCTAAATACCAGCTGCTTCCTAGTAGCATCTTGGTAAGGACAGATAGGTCAGGGCAGGGGGAAGTATGAGGCTGTTGCTATTACTTCATGTGTGTATTTGTACATACAGTATTTATTTTAATTTTTATTTTAATTGTTTATCTTATTATGTATATAATTGTACATGCATAGTTTCTGAGGCTATGTTTAGACTTCAGTTTGGACAAGTCCTTTTAAAATTTGTGTTGTTCTCTGGGTGGATCTTCCCAAGCAGAGCCAACCACACTTTCAATTAGAGCTTGTCAGTCCTGCCTGACAATCGCAGCTTTTGTTGAGAGCAGCAAGAATGAATATTGTTGTTTCACCTGCTGTGACTCATGATTTAAAAGAAAATAATTGTTTGAAACACTGATTTCTTATATTTAGAAATTAAGTTATTCTGTACCCAAATACCTGGCCAGTTTTAATAATATAACCCTGCTAGTGATCACTTAAAATGAAGTAAGAGGATCCAATACTTAAACATACTAAAACACCTATTCCTGTGAAAATCTTGCTTTGCTTGATTGCTGTCTACTGCCTTTCATCCTCTTAGCTCCATTACAGTAAGCAGTATAAAATATACCATTTCCACATGCCCTTTGAAATGCTTCTTGTTGTGCAGGCAGAATCAAGAGCAACACTTGATGTAGGTTATACTGTGAGCTCTGATGCTGCATAACAAAGGGTAAAACTAGGAAAAGAAGGATTTGAATCCTGACTTATGGTTTCAATGAAAACAGAAAAACGTTGTGGGGGAAAACTTTCCAGAACTACAAGCAAGTCCTTTGCAGTATGACATGCTTGAGCTAATGTATAAATGAAGGAGTTTTTCTATTTTTAAAAGGTGCATGGACTTGCATCATCCCATCTCAAAGGAGACCTAAGTGCCAAATCTGAATGTTTCATTGTGGAATAATGATAGAAAACTATTTGTACATGAACTTGAGATAAAAATCACCAGAGTGGAGTGGGGAGCTAGGGAATGTACCAAATCTCCAGAGCATAATCTCCTCTAGCAAGAAAGGAAGATGAATCCTGCTAGAGAGAGTAAATATCTCATATTAAGAGAAAAGGGCAAACTCCAATCAGTGTTCATCTGAATCCCCAAAGCTTCACATAACAAAGAACTTTACTCCATTTAGATTTCATCAAAATCTCTTAACTTCTCACCAGGAAAAATGTGATTTCGATCATCAGCATCCTCGATTAAATTCTGTTTTTGTGCTAGCATATTTGTCATTTTATGAGCTGCTGCTCAGTGCAAAAATAGAAATATTAATGCATGCTGATGCTTGTATTGGATCTAGCATACAAAGGAGCAGTTCAAGAGATAGAGGCATCTGGCAGACTGCCATTTGGAGATGAGAGAATAATAATTCAAATGTGATAAGAAAGTTACAAATACCCTGTGTATGAGAGCAGTAAAATTCTTGTCTGCATTAATACCCTGCTATTTCTGGGTTACTCGGAGTCCAATGTATATTTTGTGCAATGTTTATGTTCAGTTGAAAAAAGTTTGCTTTTAAACCATAATGTAATTGCCACAGACAGATCAAGGTCCCTGCTGGTGGGGAGGGACTGAAATAATTTCATCTGTTCTGCTCGGGTTTCAGACTCATCTGATTACTTTGAGGCTTCCATGTAGCTGATGTAACAGTTCAAAACATAGAAAATGGATGGGATGGGGGCAAGGAGGGTAAAGGTTATTATTAGATAGTTCCTGAATGCGCATTTGTTTCTGCTCTCAGCAATTATAGCAGTCACTGATTCTTGCTGGGGATTCTGTTTCCCTGGGAGAGGAGGCCGTCAGAGAAACAAACCCATGGCAACTAGTACAGCCTGTCTGCTAAAAACACAAAGCATAATTGTTGTGACAGTGCTACCTTTATAATGAGTGCCCACTTACATTACTCCTGGAGCTTGGCACTATGTTAACCCTTCTCTGAACGCAAAAACTTTCCAACTGACTGTTTCCACATACCTGAGCAGCTGGTGAGAGTTATCCTCAGGAAATACAAAACTCATAGTATGTGTATTGCTTGTAAGGTAGAGAGTATTTCATAAAATAAAAAATATTGAATTATTGACTTTAATTCAACCAGTATATATTGTAAACTTTGAGACAATTAAGCATTAGCACTGAGATAGCAGCTAATTTGGAAGCAAGGAATGAAGAGAACAGAATACTGTAATTTGCTCCTTTGACTGATATTACAGATTGCTTAACCTTTGTTTTTCTCTCTTCTTCCAGCAGCAGATCTAATCTGCCTACCAATGCAAGTACTCACAAATGCACTGCCTCCCCTTCATGAAGCTGCAGCAGTATGCAGCAAAGCCCACCTAAGCTGAGGTCCTCCAGCAGTGCTGCACCCAGGTGAATCACGTTTGTACAGCCCAGGCAGTAGTGTTAGCAGATGTGGTGCAAAAAGCTGTAAAAGCTGGTAGTGAATGATTCCACAGTTAAAGAACTGCACATTCTGAGCATCACCCACCTAAGCTCACTTCAGTGGAAAAGAGTGAGCTCTTCTGAGTCTATACAAAATCCTGGCATGTATGCAAATGTGGTATGTCACTCTTTGCAGATATGCAGTAGCTCAGAGCACACTGCACAGCACTGCAGTGTCAGTGCAGGGATGACAGAGCATCTTCACCAGCTGCCTTGCAGCTTGAACTCTGCTGTTGCCACTCTGCTCTGCTGTGGCAGCTGGGAAGGAGGCAAAGAAAAGGAGGTGGGGGGAGCAAGCAAGAGCTACAGCTAGGAGAAATGACAAAAGGAAAGATGAGAAGGGGAGATGTAAAGCTGGAAGTGGCCTGCAAGTGTTGGTATTATGCCATAATTAACATTACAGATTCTAATTTAGAGCAAACATGCCGTCTTAGTGTCATACAAGCCTGTCTATCATCTGTGTATAAATGTTTCCAGAACAAAATTCTCTTGTGGATGAGGTCCCCATTTAGTTTTCAATAAAAATATGCATTTGCTTGGAAATATGATTGAGTTAGTTCAAAAGTGATCTGCACCAGCATAAAAAGTTGCACCAGTATACCCTGGGTACTGTAGTTCCTACATGAATCATACTACAAATCTATCCAGAGGAAACATCTATGACTTGTTTCTGCTTCGTTGCAGAGCTCTCCAGGTTCAGTAACTCATTTCCTCTGGGGAGGAAAAAGATGAAAGTAGGTAAGTAGGGTAGGAGGGAGAGGAGGGAGAAGAGTAGTCCTTGGAAGGAAGAGGAAAAGAAACTTATCTAAGAAATGCATTCATACTGAGTCTTTTTTTTTTTTTTTTTTACTAACAAGTATACCAGTAAGAGCATCATAAACTATCTGTAGGTTCAGACAATTAATAGTATATCAACTATAATCTCTAGTCAAGCTAGATTATATAGGATGTGTTTCTCTGTAAGGCAGGCCTTAGAGTTCCAAAATGTTAAAATGTCTTTCTTCAGTTCATCTCTACCACTGCCTTTCCCTCCATAGAATAAGATCTTTTGAAGAACTGTCTCTATGGACCAGTGTGTCAGTGTATGCATTGTCTTCATAGATCCTATGCTGTCTGGAGGATTCTGAAGTAAAATGTGAGTGTTCATCAAAACATCTGCTCAGGTTGTGTCTTGTAGTGGAGGCATAAGTTACAACATGAAGCAGCAAATCTCCACTGAAGTTTCATATAGGTCTTGGGGTCAGCATCTGAGCGTGTTCAGAGCCAGCTTGCTTTCATACAGTGTTGAAATGCTAATTAACTCAGTTAACCTAAACTGCAAAAATACAGTTCCTCTACCTATGCAAAATAATCATGTAGATTTTCCTAATTATATAGATGAGCCAGCCCAAGATCTTAGGAGTGTGTGTTCCTGCACTGCAGTCCCACCTTCCTTTGCTGCTGGAACCATATTGCTTGCTTTCTTGGGCTAGAAATGTTCTGATCACCAGGAGCTGGTTTGTTAGGTGTGGTGCTGAAAATACCGTGTGAGCCTGTAATGCAATGGTTCAGGTACTAGCTGGGCTGTCTCACCTACTATGTTCAGCATTATATGTATCGTGTGACTTCACACCTAAAATTCCAAGTTTGTGTAGTAAGCCAATTTGTTCACATGATAAAAACAACCAGAAGTCCTGCTGAAAAACTGGAGAAATACTTTAAGTGCTATTACTCATCCACTCACTCGACTTGCTCTTGCTGTTGTGTTTGAGTGCAAGTTCTTTACCAAAAGCCTATTTCTACCCCAGGTACATCAGGTAAGCATGAAAGTGGGTTGGAATATTTTCACCATACAGCCTGCAGCTTTGTGTGAATCAGGCACTTGTCTCTGCATAAACTAAAGGGAGGATCATATACTACAGACATGTATATCCAGATCAGAGCTGCTGCAGAACCACAGAAGTGCTTCTGGAAAGTTTGCTTTGGTCCTTTTTCTAATGAATAGTACAGTGTAAAATAAAACTAAAAGTCTTTAAAGAGATTGAATCCTCATTCTGTTATTTATGTGAATGGAAATACTTGAACCTGACTTCATTTCTAAGGTTGTGTTTCTTGTTTTGTTTTGTTTTTTTTTTTTTTTTTTTTTTTTTTGAGAACTAAGATGGATATCTACTGATGTCTCTTTCTACAATAAGAAATGCCATTCACTAGATAACATTTTAATGCACTGTATTGCCTTACTGACATCGTGATGATAAAGCATGTCCTTTGGAAGCCCAGTGAAGCTCAGTTAGGAGTAATTGTATGAGAAAGTGAAACTTGTGGTAAATGAGTCATTAAGATGTTTTTAATCTGTGAACAATATTTGCCTCAAGAACTTTTTTGTGTGTGGATTTATTTGCTGTGGATATGAGTAGGCGGTGGTTTTAAGCTGTTGTCAATATATTGTTTAAATTGTTATTTTCTTTCCTTGTGATTTCCTTTTAGTGCATCTGGGATTTTTTTTTTTTTTGGTTCTGATTTTTTAAGGAAACAAGGCTTATGCAATCATGTGATCCAGATGTGGTTGTGTATCTGTCTGTCCTGATGTGGCAGCTTTTTAATCTAGTGGCCACTTCTAAGCAAATTTGAGAGCAGCAGCCATCTCCAACAAGTTACATTCCTACAAATTCAGGAAAATCAAGAGACAGCTACAGGAGAGAGAAGCTTTAGGAGTGGCCCTAATGAGGGGCAGTCCCTCTTCTCAGCATTTACAGTGAGCACATGAGATTCCACACAAGGAGCTATGTTAAAAGTATCCTTACCCCAGGAAAATCTTTAGTTAGAATTCACACCCAGTTTGCTACCAGTGAACTCAACTCCCAGATAACACCCATAACAAAGCAGGCTGCATTAGCTCCCTCGTTCACATAACATTGTTTTGTCTTTGTGACCTTGGCCAAGGGGAAGCTAAATCCAAATGCTGTGTGAGTATTGCTAATACCCTGTGTATTTAGAAATATCTGGATTAGATGTGAAGAAATAATCATAAAAATGATGCATTTTATGATTCGTTAAGCTTTCAGTTGACACTGTGACATAACAAAAATGGCACAAAAAGCATGTCTAGACCCCTTTATTAATTGCAATCTTTCTGGGAAATCTGTTTGGAAAGCAGCCTGTTAGTGCCTTCTCCTCTCTTCCCTTGCAATGGCATGCAGCTTTTTTTTTTTTTTTTTAAACCTCTCCTGAAGTTTAATCAACAAAAAAGTCATAGGCATTCTAGGTCACAGGCGTTGTGGTGACTAAAACACTTCAGAGTGAATGTTTTTCATAGACCGCAATGCACTTTGCAAACCCTCCCTTTTTCTTGGATGAACAAAGGTAAAAATACTAATTCCCTTGCTGCACTATGTGCATCAGTTTTCTGTTCACAGGTAATTTGTTGCTTCTCTTTTGCATAAATGAAACTGAATGAAATCATCCCTTTGGCACTTTATTGCTGTTTGAATCCTCATTCAGTTGTTTGGCACGTTAACAGTTCTGCAGGAAACTAACTGCAGTGATCCACTAGCTATTTTATGTTGAGCTATTGGGCTTTATTTTCCTGAGATGTTAAATATATTTTCATGCTATAGTCAAAGAAAATACTTAAAAACATTGTTTAATGACTTTCAGTTATCACCTCGATAATACTGTGAAGTTTTCCTGTCATTTTTTATAGGCAAAATTACAGTTTCTGTTACTTTCTTGTTAAAGAAAAGTCTTCAAAGGGAAAACTGAACATATTCAGTTTGATACCTGTAGCATTTCATACCTGTAATAAAAACTGGTGTTCCTACCTACTGCTGTAAGACAACTCATATAGAAAACATTTCCCCTTCTTGTTGCTCATCTCCTAGTTATGGTGGTAATGGGAGGTGAAATCACTTGCTGGCAGTCATCTGGCTGCTTTTGTTTTTCTTCAGCAGGTGGTGACTCTAAAGATCTGTCATCTGTCTCTTACTTCACTTAAATCTCTGGGTGTGGATGAAAGTTGAGCTGAGACTGTTCCTTGATCTGAATATAGTCCCTTTGTGTTCACAAAGGACTGCGGATAATACTTACTGGCAGTGAGTTATCCTTACAGCTTATGTTCCTCCAACAATACTACCAGAGTGCTACAGGTAGATGGAAGTGAAGTTATGTCACTGGGCAACTTTTCAGCAGTGCACTGTTGGCTTTGCTACCAGCTGCAGGTGGTGGCCAGCATTCAGTGACAAGTTACAATCTGAAGTCTTCTTGACCATGTTGCAATAGGATTATGTCACTGCTGTTGTATCATTTCCACCCTTCTCCATGAGGACAGCTTTCTATTTTTTGCCATTAAGGAAACCATACTGCCTGGAAATAAATCTGTATTACAATGACATTATATGGTGTTGGGAAATAGCTTTGCATCTGATTGGCTTGTTCTTAGAAGATTAGGGACTAAGTAGATATGCAAGTATTTCTTCAGATGTCATTTATATTTAATGTACAACTTGAAAGGGAAGGCTCTGCCAAGAGCTGTCTTCAAATATGCTTAAAAACTTTCATAAGAATTGAATACAAGCAGGGAGTGATGCCTGACCCCCCAAATGCTCTTATAAGTACTGTGTGTAAGAGGATGCTCTTGGCTCCTGCAGCCCTTCTGCTCTGTTTACAAGAATGTTTCCTGGCTGGCTCAGAGAAGCTGGTTTCCAATGGGAATATTAATGCAACAGGAGAGGGAACAACTGGAAAGATGTGGTATGTCTTCCCCCAGACCCGGGATGCTCCCTCAGCAGGGAGAAATGCCTGTGTTCTGCAGCCTTCAGCATCGTCTGCCAGGAAAGCAGCCATCCTGCAACAGACAAAATCCATGAAGGCATTTTAAGAGAGAAAGGATAGGAACAGGTTTGCACTGCCATCTTCAGCCCCAGGGAAAAATGGAGCTCCTTCATTTAGTGGGCAGAGCATGTGGCTGTATGGGGTATCCCACAGGCACTTGGATATGTGTACTCCAAAGATCCTCACAAGAACAGTGCTTCTGCTGCTCTTTGCACCAGCCATGCAGGAAGAGATGGAGGGATTTCCTCCATGCAGTCACTACCAGTGCTGTGGAAGGAAAATATGTAAGCCCTCCAAGGTACAGCAAGACTACAAAAACATGGGAGAGAAGTAACTGGTGGTAAAGCATGTGTTTGAGGGAGAGAAATCTGGAAAAAAAAAAAGGGCAGCCTAGAGCTCTAGAAGGGAAAGTGAACAGAGCAGTGGAAGGTTCTGGGAAGACAAGAAAGCTTGGTACAACATATTGCCAAGTCTGCGCATGGATTTTTGAAGATTTTTTTTCTGCTCTAATATAAACACCTCTTTCCTTAATGCAGAAACACAGCTTCACTGATGGTCAGAAGATGCAATCTGGTGATGAAGTGTTTAAACAGCATTTAAGATTTTCCATTACATAGGAGTACCTATTAAACAGAGAAGTTGCATCATTATTGATTTACATTTTTGTGATTTTACATTTTCAAAAATTTTAGCAACTTCTTGGAGTTATGGTGCATGAAAGATTCTGCTAGAGTTAATGGGGTATTTGTATTTAACCACCCTTGTTGCAAGATGTGGAACAAACTTAAGAACTTAAAAAATACTCTGAACTAGAATTCCTAAAGTATCTTAAAAATCCAGTAATACTGCTTTATATAGAAAGCCACGCATCTCTGGAAATCTAGCTGCAGAACAAACCATCACATTACTGTAAAGCTGAATAGCTTTATATACAAAATGCTGAATTTTCAAAATCTTCTATCAGTAGCCTTTTTGTTTTATGGACTATTAAACTGGTGTGCAACAGGCTGTCACTAAACATTTGTTCCATGTTTTGCTGAATGAAGTACAGAAATACAAGGCAGCTGAGGCGCCTTCCCTGCAGAGAGTAAAGATGACAAAATTGGGAGCTGCTGCAAGAACTGAAAAACAGAGGTGTGGGCTACATGCTGTGTGTGTTGCAGTGATGGTTATTTAGGGGTTGTGGGAAAAGGAGGCGAGATGCTGGAGCTTGCTGAAATTGTCAGAACTGCTGTATGTTTTATTAATGATCTATAACCTTTTAGATATACAGACTATGCTGCTAATAGCAAAAGCAAAATAACAAAAAGATCTTAATTTGTCTCTTTTTGTAACTGGGAAGAGTTTGATAGTGTGTTGATAGTCTCAGGACATAAACCATCAGTAATAGCTACCAGGAGTCACTGTCAGCCTGAACCTGGCTAAGTGTAAAGCGTGTATAAACTTCATCATCTAATTGCCACTAGTCATTAACCCACTCTTCTAGCTGAATACCATGTAGGACTGGCATGAAACCTGCTGGATAAAGGAATATGACTTCTCTTGCTAACAATCTGGCACTCTGAGCACCCATCCATCTGCTTATCTAGGAGCTCTGTGGTAAAAGCCATGAAGGAAAAATAGGCGAAACTTTTTGACGAGAGATAGCATTAAAGTAAGCATAATGTCAGGTGGGATTAAACTTGGGCTGATAAAATGTGCCTAAAATCTCTTCTGGAGACAGAAGTCTTCACCCACCACACAGGCTCAGCACAGCTAGTGGCAGTGTGAGTGACTCCTGTCACACAGTGCACCTTTCTTCTTCGTGCAGACCGAGGCAGCAAGGGTACTGTGGCAAGCACACACCTAGTTGCAGTTGTCAGCATCACTTTGGAGTCCAAGCAACTTCCCATGTCAACAGGGTAATTGGCAGAAGATCTTTCACATGCACAGACACACAAATAAGTTGTATTTTGCATTCAAAACTAAGAAGGTGGCCAAACAGTTTTCCTTCAAGATCTTGATGACTTTGTCTTATTTAGGTTATTTTCAGGATTGGGAGAGATTGATTGCAAATGCCAAGTCATGTTATAAAAACAGTATCAGACACTTTAAGGAGATGGGAAGAAGCATCACTGAAGGATGCAAGCCTGGAAGAATGTGCTTCACAGAGAGAAAACTTGTGGGTAGATTAACATTTTCTGGATAAGGCCGTGCTCATTCCTTGTGTACCCCCAGGGATACTATGCACTGGGACCAAAACCTTTGTTGTCTGAATTCTCCCAATTCTTCATTACTGTAGTGCAGCAGGGGCTGGAGGCATCTGTACCTGGCTGAGGGATCCACACAGGCAGAGAAGAGAAGAGGGGCTCCATGTAATAGTTTAAGAACTACTATCCTAAATAAATAAATATGGCCTCAGGCCAGCCTTGTTTAATCTTTTGAGGCTTTGGAGATATTGAAACATGATGTGATAACAAGCAGCTGTATTTCACGAAATATTTACCAATGCTCAGTGTGTGCACTCTCTTCAAGCCATCCATCCTCTTTCATTATTTCACCAGATACCGTGACTCATTTCTGAGTCTGTGATACTTGGCTACTGAAATAATTAATCTTGAATAGAAACTAAAATTTGGTTGTATCATGCAGGATTTTCATTTTGAATGAGAGTCCAGTCAGTGATGTCTGAGCTTTAAACTTGCTCATTTCCATCTGTAAAAGCAAATAGTAAAATATTAATAAAATTGCTTGGAACCAAAAAATATTAGCATTCAAAAATCTCCATATCTTTGGATATTTGATTAAAAATTCTGATTTTACTTAGAGTATTTCTGCATATACGTATAGCTAAGAAGCTTTATCCATACAGCAGTTACTAAAACAGGTCTGACCAGCCTATTTTGTGCAGTGGGAACAGCAAGAGTATGAAAATTAGTTTCCAAGTAGGAAATAAGATCAGCCAGGAACCAGACATCTCTTTTCTTCAGTTCTGATACATGAGGTCTTTCAAAATATGTTTCAAAAGTATTTGATAGCTTCCCTTCTATTTTAGGAAAATACATAGACATAACTGCTTTAAAGGAAGAAAGCCGTCTGTAAAACATGAGAACTTGTGGGTTTGTACTTGACTTGTACACTTTCTCCTCACCTTTACAAAATGCCTCCTTGAATTACAACCTCCCAAGAGAGCTATGAGCCCATAACTGAGGCTATCAGTTGGAGTAGACAACTTACCTGTTTCTGTGTGCAGTTCAGTGGATGGTTTCAGTGTCCCTGTTTTTATTTACTTTCCCACCAGTGTCTCTAAGCAATTACAAAGGCTTCTCTTTTCCAGTAGTTGGCCTTCGTGGCTCTCCATAATGCACTTAGCCTGTCTAAAATTAGTGACTTCTGCCTGTAACTAAGTATATGTAGAGCTGGACTCAGTGTAGCAGAGAAAATACAAACTAAACACAGGGAGGAAGAAGAAAATTGCAATAATCACACAATCATCCAACCTAGAGAGCCAGTTAGCATCATTGGCAGCCTTTGTTCACATGATCTTGTGGGCAACCAGATAGAAAAAAAGTGACAATTATTCTTTTTTTTTTTTTTTTTTACTTCCTCCTCTGGTGTTTGTGAATGAAATCTGCTAGCAGCATGACAAAGCCTGCTGCTGCCACTATACCTGCGGCCAGCTCTCCAGTAGTTGCCAGTGCAGCTGAGACCTTCAATTACACAGGCACCTGCCAGTCCTCCTCCCCTCAATCTCTACTCTTCTTCTTTCTCCAATCTTTTTCCTCATGCTCTGCTGCTCTTCCTCATTTCATCTCCTCTCCAGTTATGAATCTGTCTTTTTTGAACATGATATACGCTAGTGAAAAAGTAACACCTTACGTTCAAGATACAAATCAATCCCACAGTGGCACATATGGATCCTGAATTTGGCAGGGATTTAGATGAGATCTTGAAATTTCCATCACATAAAATTTGGTGTAAAGTTTTTCAATTTCATCAATTCATCTTGTAGATTCTTCCTATTTACAGTTTTGTCTGTGTGGAAATAAGTATGATGTTAAGTTCAGATATCCACCTGCTTCCACGGATTTGTCACGCAGGATGTCTGTAAATTTGGTTGCTTAAAGCTCTCTTTCAAAACTTCAAATTTAAATGGAAGAGCATTAAGTTTATCTTGTGGCTAATTGCATTACATCATTACATTATAGCAAAGTGGTTAGCAGTAGGAGAACTTCTGAAGGCCTAGATCTACTTAGAGTTCAGATGGCTTTTAAAGAAAGACCTGCAACCACAGTTTGTCCATCTGCTGGCTTCCCTTCCTTAATAATGTTTGAATTTACTGATAATTCCAGCTTATGTTTGACAGGCCTTGAGAACATGAAGCTCCTGGAAGCTTGATCAAAACCAGCAAGTGGTCAGAGGCCGCTGGCCCAGGTTAATGCCACCCACCCAAATTTTAAGGCAGTTTGTCCAGCTGGTCCCTGACACAGAGCGCTGTGAGGGGTGCAGAGCAGTGAGGGGCATCTGGGAGCACTACAGAAAAGGGGATCCATGTGCCTGTTGAACATAAAATACAGAGGGATCTGGTGGCTGCAGTTCTGTTCAGCACACAATTTGCTGGCTTCCAAAGAAAGCAATTCACGTTTAAAAACAGCAGGAAGGGCGTACGTGCTGAGTGATGAGAGAGACACAGTCTGTGTGGCCTCCCTCCCCTACTCCTCACAGGTGCAGCTACCCAGAGGGGAGGGATGGCTGTCATGGACACGGCCCCCTGGCAATAAGCTGCTTTTTCTTATTCTGATGGGCAGAGTGCTGCTGTAGTTCTGCGGTCTCTGCTGACCAACTTGCCAGGAATTGCATGCATGCAGTTTGCTGAGGAGTGTCCAGGAGTCCCCAGGTTTCCCAGCAGCCCTACTTATGCTAGCTTTTTATTTGCAAAGCTGAAAATTAATTAGGATATTTAATGCTCTGTGAAGAATTCAATAAAGCAGTCTAAGGTGTTGACATGCTTGCCTTGAACAAATAAAAGCCACCTGTGATTATTCTTATTGCCTGCTGTGGAGCTGTAGCCTGGCTGCTGAGACAGGGATCCTCAGCAGAGTGAAGTCAGGAGCAACGACGATTGGACATGTGACATTTTCAGCTTGCTATAAATTCATCTGTAAATAGCAGAGCCTGATATTAACGAGACCGGGCATCTCATTAAATAACATGAGATAACAATAAATAATGCTCAATGTGCCATTATGGAACTCTGCAGTACCTGGTTTTGAGTATTACAGATCAAATTATGGAAACACTATGTTTTTTTTTTCTGCATGGATTTACAACTATAGGCTCTCCATGTTTTAATGTGTGAAAATTTTCATGTAATGGGAGAAATTTTATATGTTTCATAAATCAGAGTACCCTGGTAACCATTCTGATTCAAAGCATAAAGAGCAGTCTGTCAAGTTCTTCGTCCTTATCTCTTGGGTGAAAATCTTTTCTATGTTTGCCAAGAAAATATACTAGTACGTGACCGCCTGATAAGCAAATCTTTCACTGACTCAATTTCAAAATAGATTACTATTAGGCAATATATATGTTTTCAGTGGTAACTGTTTGGACTGCTCAGATATATTTTTATAATGGTTTTAAAAATCACTCAGGATTAAAAACTCCTGGATCCTTGCTGTCTGGGATGAAGGTTATAAGGAATGTTACTGTGTTCCAAGTGATGGTGCCAACAGGGACATGCAGGTACATACACATAAAATATGTTCATGATATGAGACAGAAAAATGCAGTTTTGTAGTGTGCATTTCTGTATATGCTACGAAATAGCTTTTTCCTACGATATTGTGTATGCTGCATCATCCTAAGTATTTGATAGGGAACATGTTGATCCTTAATGATTAGAAAAGCTGCTTCTTGTATAGGAACTTTTGAATCCATCTGTGCTTTACCCTGTGGGAAGAGTTCTTAGCAGCTGCTTCTTTTTAAAGAAATTCAAAGAGGATATCTATTTGTGGGCTGGAGTTGCCATTACAGGTCTTCTCCGCACTATTGCATCCTGTCCACATCTCTACTATGCTACATGGAGACCTCAACTGCTCCACCCTAAATATATAGTCCTCTTAAAACTTGTTTGTTTTCAATGAGGTCCGCAAGCTAAACTGAAAATAAATACAGCATATGCAGAATGTTTTTTTCCTCTTTGCCTTTCAAAAAACATCATGCTTACATGTATCTGACATACCAATAAAACTTTATAATACATTTGTCCTTTTACTGCTAATGTTTTCAGATGCCCCAGTGAGGACCACAAAAAAAAACATAAGATGAAACACTTGTGACCTTAAAGATTTTGAGATCTAATTTAGAAATTGGTGTAATACACAAACTTGATTGGGTGCAATTTATCTTCCTGTTCATGTTGTCAGCAAGACCCCCTGCAGGTGTTTTATTACAAACTCTAGCAATAACAACAACAAAACAGATTTCTAGGGATTTTAACAACTACTACAAAAATCTACCCCTAGTTTCTTTTACATCAATGTTAGCTCAAATCAAAGTAGTCAAAAGAAGATAAAGATTCAATGTAGGAAATACTGTTCTTTAGGATAACACCAAAATATCTACATGGTTGGGTGCGTACATGATCCATATTTAGGCATCTTGCTTAGGTGAGCTGAACGATCTAAGCAGCTACGTCTTTCACTTGATTTATGAGCTGTTTTGCAAGCCATAGGCTACAGAGGGAAAGTACAGGAGATCAGTTGTGTCCCCATCAGTAAATGAAGAGGAAAAGTGCTCCTGGAGACCTTGCTCTGTCATCCTCCTTTCCTTCATTCCTTCTGCTTGGTAACGTGAGAGTGACTGTTTGCCTAGCATGGTCTCTGGGCTGCCCAAGGACTGACTGTTCAGTAATTATGCCCTGAATCTCTCGAGAAGCAGAGCATCGCTGACAGGAGGAAACAGCTTGGAAATAGCTGCTGTGATTATTGAGCGCAGGAATCAGTCTTATCCAATGGATTTCTGTACCAAAGTCTATCCAACCCACTCAAAGAGAATTGTTAGCATTTCATTCTATTTACATCTACTATAGCAATTCTCTGTGAGCTGAACTTCCCAGTGTGAAAAAAAAAACCAGCTCATTATAAGGAGACAACCTGTCTGTATCCTTCTTCTTTTTGGAGGGAGATTGCCCATAGTCATTCACGCGTACTTTATCCCTTCTACAAAATGAGATGTTGTAATAGTCTCATATGTAATGTAATTATATCTTAGTTCGCATTGCATAAAATGATGAAATTCAAATTACTGATGGGAAACACCTTTCCCTGACATTAAAACTCAAATGTTTCACTGTTTCACAATAATACTAAACTATGGAAGGTGATACATAAAAAATAAAAAATAAAAAATAAAAAATAAAAAAAAGTGAAATGGAAAGAAGTAGTGAAAGTTTCTGGAAAGGCATGACTGGAGGTGAGCTGTCTCAAAGCAGCAGAGCAGGTCCATGGCACAGAGGCTGCTGCCTTCCTTGCAGCAGTGCACAATGCCTGATGTTGACGTAGCTGTGCTCCAACACCAGAGATGTTTGTCTTTGGTACCAGATGGAGGCTGGCAACTAAAAGGTGTTTGTCGTTTATTTACAACACACCAATGAATAATATTAAGCATGCTGCTTATCCACTGATCTCAACGACTTTTCCCTGAGAAGAAGTAAGCTCCTACATTTTCTTGTAGTACGCTTTGTACCAACTTTTTAATGAGTTAGCTCTTCCAACTGACAAGAAACAGAGAAATCATCTGGCAATTCCTCTTGCTGGAGCTGAAGCCAGGGCTGAGCAGGTGAACAACCTTTTACATTTCTTCCTGCCCCTCTACAACTGAACAGCAATGGGGCACTTGTTTTCTGCTGCATAATTCATGTGTATTTCAGTATTTATATAACAGAAGTAAAACAATGCTTGACTTAAAAATACACACCAAAAAGCAGAATCCATAATTTAGTCTCACTGCTGGTGTGAGATCCTCTGGAATCTGAGTGCCACTAAGCTGTGCTCAGCAAAGCTGAAACTCAAGGGTGCCTACAGATGATAATTAAACAACTAATAACCTTGCTTGGAGAGCCTATTGCATATGACAGAATATGTACAACAAATGGAACTGAAATGCAAAATCACTCTAAAATAGCATAATGATTCTAAATATGGAGTTAGGAGTGGTGATGATCTCTTTCCAAATAGAAGTAGTCATGAGTGTGGTAGTACTTTGCTAAACAAGATAGCTTAGTAGTCAAATTCTGGGTGAAAGGAAAGAGGGACTCATCATTCACTCTGGCAAAAAGTCCTAGCTCATAAGAAAGCTATATAATTAATGCTAGATACTTAAAAGCCATGAATTGCAGTTTCTATGTAAGCTTTGGAAATGGAAAAATGTATCCTGGCAATATTCCTGAGGAGGTAGAGAGGGTATCCAGTGATATTTATGTAGATTAAATCTGAAACTGACAGCCAGGGACCTGAAAGATAAACATATACCTAAAGGTTATGGCTCAACTTTCAGTGGAAATTATGAGGGCTTCTTTGACAGGCAGAATCTGCTCATGGCTCATAAATTAACGTACAACTCTAAAGGTAGTAACTGCTGAGAACCAAGCTGAACACTGATTTTGCTTTGGTTTAGTTTTAAAAAATATTTCCTGACCACAAATTTTACAGTTGAAAACCACATTTGTGCCAGTTCTCCAAAGATGTGTAATCAGAGGAGGTGATAGATATGTGGCTGCTGCTCTAATCACACTTAACTGACAACTTATACAAGCCATCAATTTGAGGAAACACCTAGATGCTAAAAAGCCCAGGATAAAGAACAGAGCCCCACGGAGTAGTTTAAGGCTCCACACACTACTAGAAATAAAATCAGCAGAGGAAGTGAAAGAAATATAATTAGAAAACTGTCTTGAACCAGACAAACCCTCTTGTGTTGTATGCAAAGTTTACTATGAAAGCTAATGACACTAAAAGCTAATTCAGTATCATCTAAAACATACAATAAAACTGAAATCTGTAGTCAAGGTTTTCACAGCTAATTGATTGACTTAGATTCTCACATTGCAACAAATAGAGTGAGTGGTACAAACTCTTGAGCTTGAATTATTAGTTTCCTGCTCTTTGGTGTCTCCTAGGAGCCAGGTAAGCATGTAAGAAAATAAGTTTTCATCTATGATTACAATTATATATTGTAGTATGTACTTATATTTAAATCTGTGGACATCTTGGCTGGGGAAGCCTACATCTATTGTTTAGATAGGGAATACTAAGAGAAGTGATCCTTAATACTGGACTGTGTTTTGTATTGCTTTTATTGTATGCCTTCCTTTCTGTCTTGTTAAAGATAGCTAATCTGCTCTGAGCTCTGTCCTTCCATGTCTAGACCATCACTGGTGGCTATAATTTCTGCTTGGATGAAAGCTTTAGCATCTCTGTCATGGTTTCTCCCATGACCCCAGTGTAGAGTTGTTTCTCACTGGCAGACAGCCCTCTATGTGTTACCATTTTGTGCTATCATACCTCCCAGGAACAGGGGATCTCTCAGAAGTTTTAAGGAAGGATTAGTTTTCCAGTAAAATCATTGTGAGTGCTAAACTGCCTTCAAATACAGGAGAGACTAGGAAGGAATTTGTTCCCTTTCTGTCCTTTATTTTATTTTATTTTTCAAATAAGTGGATGCAGTGAGAACTGCTGTATCTCTCTGGAACTGTTTCATACTCCAGAATCTATTCCTCTTTTGCAAGTGAAAGCTTACAGTCATAAGTTCTACTTACAAGCAAACAAAATCCCCAAGCAAACAGACAAAATAAAAACCTTTAAGGATAGAACCCAGGTAAAACAATTTGGAGATGTCTGAGTGTTCAGTAAGCCTGATGCAATTGTTTCAAGTATGAACAGCCCAGTTTATTTTCAGCGAAGGTTGTCTTAATCTCTAAAAGTACTCTGTGCATTGTGTTATACCCACTGAGTATAAACTCAAAGGAGCTCAATGCACTGTTCTGATACCACAAATCTGGCTGATTATCACAAAACCGATTATTGCTAACAGCTGACTGAGCAGTCACGGCAAACAGTAGTCTGACCAGCAAACCCTTAAAATGTCCACTTTCTGACAGTGAACACTGACATCGAAATAAATGTGATGTTGTGACATGGTCAGGTGACACTAAAACATCTTCAACTCCTGGACAGCGCTCCCAGGAAGGCTTGAAGTGGCAAAAAGGGAAAAAAATAATAATAAAAAAAATGTTAGTAAGGCTCAAGAGAGCTCTTCCCTAAGTAATGTTTTTGTTTGCTTGCTTTTTAAAGCAATGTTACTTGGAAAGTGTCATGGATAGATTAAAATGAACCCTTCAAAACTCTCTCACTATTCCATCTTTCTTTAAGAGTGCAGACAAGCTTGTAAAGGTGCTAACTTGCAGGTGAATGCTCTGCTGTTAGCACCCGTGGTCCTGACTGCTGGCCAGCTACTGGTTATAGTGAGGAGCAGGTTCTCAGCAAGAGCCCTGAGCCCTAGCCCCATGCAGAAGGCAGCACAAGGTGGGTTACACAGAAAGATGTTGGTTCTGTCACGACTCGAGGAAGTTGGGTGTGCTTTGTTACTAAGTTTCAGGGAAAATTAACTGAGAAGCTTACTCATTTGCAAGCGAGCAGGGGAAATTCCTGTGGTGCACGCTGAGTGCAGGCTGGGGATTCCTGGCACAATGAGCCCTCATGGCATACATGTTGGTATTACTTTATTGCTGCTGTTGATTGCGAGAAGGGATTAATGACAAAGAGCTGCTTAACAAGTTAACGAACACGAGTAATGTCATCCAATTGTTACAATCTCCTTAATTCCTCGGTTAAACGTTTATTTCACTGGAAATTCCCAAGGATAAAATGAGTCACGGCAGAACGGACAAAGTTGGGATAAGGCCCCCCCGGGTAACCAGCCCATAGCCCCCTGCCCGCTCCCAGGGGCGGGGAGCGCCGTGAGGCGAGGACCGGGAGCAGGGCAGTGGCCCGGCGCCAGCCTCGCCGCCCCCTCACGGGCATGCGCGACCGCGGCGCAGGGTGCATGCGCCTCGCGGGCCCCCGCCAGAGCGCCGCGCGTGCGCAGAGCGCCGCACCGGGCAGCGACTAGGGAGGGTGGGAGGGAAGGAGGGCAGAAGGGCGGGCGGGCGGACAGCCGGCGGAGCCTTCGCCGCGCTGTGCCCGGGCAGGGCACGGGGGGCTCCTCCGCCTCGGGGGGGGGGCTCCAGCGGCGGCCGAGCACCCCCGGTCGCGCCCGTGCCGGCGGCTCCCGCCCGGGGCAGTGCCCCAGTTTGCATCCAATCACCGCAGCGCGTGCACCGAGCGGGGCGTAAACAAGCCCCGGGAAACCCCCCTCCGCCCCGCTCCGCTCCGCTCCCCGCGCCGCCCCGCAGCCTCCCCCCGCCGCCCCCTCCGGCGAGGCGCGCTCCCGCCGCCCAACCGCCTCACCCGCCCTCCCCGCCCCCCCGGCCGCCCGCCCAGCCGGCGCCGCCCGCGCCGCCGCCGCACGCACCCCGCTGCCCGCTCCCCGCTCCCGCAACGCGCCCGCGGGTGGGTGCCGCGGCCTCCGCCCGGGGAAGGTAAGGGGCCCGCCGGGGCGCGGCTGCGGGCAGGGGGGGGGGGAGTTGGCGGCCAGCCGCCGGCCGTGACACCGCTCCCGGCGCCGCCGCTGCTGGGGCGGGGGCCGCCGAGGAAGTTTCTCCTTGGTTAATGAGCCGCTAATGAGGGAGCGGGATGCGGGGCTGCCCGAGGGGCCGGCAGGCGGTGACGGGCGCTCCGGGAGCGAGCAGTAGCAGCCGGGATCCCGCGGGGCGGCCGGTTACATAAGGTGCCGGTGGGGAGGAGAGGGACGAGCCCGCCCTGCCTGCCTTCCCTTCCCTTCCCTTCCCTCGGCAGGTACCGGGCAGCCCGTCCCCATCGCCGCGCCGCCCATCCCGCCCGAGGGGGCGGCAGCTCCCGGCACGTGTTGGAGGGGGGGTGCCGGGCTCGGTGCTCATCGCAAATAAACGTTCCGGCAGAACAAAGTTTAAAGAACTTGATTTTTTTCCTCCCTCCCCCCTTATCCTTCATGCGCGCGGTTCGCGTGATGCGATGGGTGGGGTGAATCATCGGTTCCGCGGAACCCAAGCAAGTGAATCACCTCGCGGCGCACACAGCGGGGGGCCGGGGGGTGGCCTCGGCTCCCAGGGCACGGGCAGGGCCCGACTCCCCCCCGGGCTGTCCGGGGGCAGCGGGAGGGCTGGGGAAGTTCTGCAGGGCTCGGTAGTCCGGGGGCAACCTGTTTCTGCATCGGCTCCCTGCCCTTCATTTTCTCCACGTCCTCCAAGGAAGGATGCTAATGACGAGATTTAAGTAACTGTGCCGTTCAAAGTATGTTAATTTAAAGTCAGATTTAACCTAAACAAACAAAACATGAATCGTATCACACCGTATCCATAGCCCAAAACCTGAGACAGATCCCAGGTCCTTTTAATCTGGGATTGGTTTTGCGTAGTTTTGTTAAGCGAAAATAGTTAGTCTCTGGTGCAGTAAATACATAAACACATATTTGGAAAACAAACAGGTTTGTTTAATGAACATGCTAGAGTTGCACCTAGGTAGAGTTGTGCTCCCGATCCTCTTGCCTGTGGCTGTTTTAAATGGGATTAAGGCTGGGTCCTATATATAGTTTTTCTTTCAACTCTGACTTGATTCCAGAGCTGAATTCCATTTTCTACTTTTTGTTGACATGTTTATCTCTCCCTGTACTCAGGCAGGACTTTGAATTTTGTAAGATGAATTCCTCTTTTCTTGGTATACCTGCCAGTGCCTAGAAATGAAGTCCCTGTTTATGATGGGGAGGTGGTGCTGGACAAATACAAGCACTCAGCAGTTTTACAATGCAAAAGTATGTGAAGATCTTTGTGCCTTTTACTGGTAAACCATTCTGTCACCTTTGGCATCAGGTATCCTTTATCTGTCTGCCTGTGTTTTGTACCTCTAGTCATTCTCCAAACAGGAATGGAGAAATAAATCAGTCATGGAAAGGATTGATTCTGGTATTTGCTTATGTATTACTTCAGCGTTCATTGTGTGGCTCTGAACGCCTCGCAGTCAGAAGATTCTGAAGTTAACCAAGTTAATCCTGCGTGCGGCTGAACAGTTCTCTGAACAGATCCTCTTAGGTACATTGGGTGGTAAAGCCAACAAACAGCAACGAATCCCATTTCTCAGGTGCATTTAAATCAGTAGTCAGACAGCACCCATCCTTCCTTAGTTAATTTCCTTACAAAGAAGGTAGAAGCATACACTATGTATAGCATTATACGTGCCTACAAAGAGACCTCAATTAAAAGCAGTACAGCAAGTAAAGCTGTAAGTGGGCTCACCACTCTGCTTCAGCCTTTTCCCCCTGCTCTCTATGCACCCTGGGCTTGAAAGTAAAAGTGAAAAATGCAAGAGTTCACTTTTAAGCCTGCAGAATGTGCAAAATGAAGTGAGATAAAACGGATTGGTTTAAGGTTGCGTCTGCGCAGCGCCATTTTTAGGATTGATAAGCAGCTTACTGTAGGACGTGCAGCACAAGTTGGAAAACTGCGGAGGGCAATGCAGATAAAAGTGGAGTGTCTGAACTTTGTATGCTGGCTTTTGTTATGTTGGGATACGTAGGCTTTGTTCTTAACATGGTTAATTTGTGAACAGATATAGTCATGCCCTTTTGTAAATAAAAATGGGGTGATGTTATAATGTTTATTTGAAATGGATAGTACTTTGCTCAAAAAATAGTTCACGGTATCAGCTGCTTTGCAGATTCTGTGCAATGAAAGACTGGTGCCTACAGCACCTTTGCAAGTCCTTCTTCTAGCTATCTCAGCTGGAAATGGATGGTTAACATCCCAACGGGAAGAAGATAAATTAGATGCTTTCTTCTTCACAGTTTTTGCTTTAAAAACTCTTTCTAGATAGATGCAGCAGTCTCAAGCAAAGTTTTGAACTACTGGTGTGGAAAGAAATATTGGTGGTGCTGAAAAAGAATCAGTTCTTCAACTTCTTCATTGAAAACTTTGTACCAGGTATACATCCACCTGGCAGTCCTTTGGTCCCTAAATCCTCAGTTAAAAACAGTTGTTGCAGTTTTGTGTAAAGAAAAGTTAAATAAGGTAGTTAATTTCTATTAATAGTCTCAAGTAGGATTCTAAAATATTAAGAAAATTATTAAAAAAAAAGTTGACTACAAGTCAACTACAAGTTGTGTCTCTCTATCACTTTTGTTATTAGACTTGTAGCCAGTCTATTCTTGAATGTTGGTAAATAGTACTTTAGATATTTCCTAGAGGGATGCTTATTTCCCTGATGGCTGTGTTTTTCATGTTACATTTTTTCCAGTAAATGTAGCGTCATGGAAAGTACCAGCTTGACAGACTTTGAGACTGAAACCCCTCAATGAGCAGAGCAGGTGCAGCACAGGCAGCAAGCTCCATCATGCAATGGCAAGAGCGTGTGCAGCTAGCTGCATGTCTGCCGTTACCTTCTCTGACTTAGTTTTGTTGTTTATAAAATAATCGTTGTTGTTTATAAAACAAAAACTGTTTGTTACCAAATGCAGGACACTTCTAGAATGAAAGATACATAGTGTTACTTGACCACTATGGTCTCAACAGCTGTCACTATTGGTTCTTACTTGTGAAACAACTAAATTTGACTGGCTACCTAAAGCTGAAACGGTTTATCCCGTTATTAATAGCTGAATTCATCTTTGTCTCAGCAGCTTTCCTAACATCTGGCCAAACTGTTCATTTGCTACTGGTCATCAGTCATTTCTTGTCTGTTGTGGAAGAATCTTCTTCCTTTGTTTGTCATTATTTTGTATGGTTAGAGGTTTGGATGAAATAAAATATAAAAATAGCCCACTAATTTGCCATAATGTTAGTAAGAATCCCATTTTCAAAAGAGACATAATAAGGAAAAGAAGAGAAAACTTTCTTTCTCAGAAGAGGTTAAAGATGAGAGTAGAAGTTATTGAGAGGATCTTGACTTTCTTATGATACCTTTATTTTACCGACTGCTGCAGCCCTGAGAGGGAGGCTTCACTGGGCTTCCGTTTGTTGCAGTCTGTTAGGGTTCAAGATCTGCTTTCCTACATTTAATTGTCACTGGCAGTGGAATTTGAACTAATTGTTTGGTTTACAGAGTGTACGTGGGCACTGGGCAGTGACTGCTGAAGAACCATGTTTAGGTATATACATTTTTGTGTGTATATGTATACAAGCACAACACTAATGCTGCAAATGCGGTGCCTTTGGTGACCCCTTGTGCACAGCTTCAGGACGGGTTCTTCTACAGGCAGGAACACCACTGTGCAGTCACACCACTTAACTCAAAGCAAATTCTTATCAAAACGAACACTTTCTACACAGTTAATCTCTAACGTAGATATATCAGGAAATAGTGTTGGGATCTAAATGGTGAAACAGTATTTTTTTCCTGATTCATTGGTATGATTCATTCTATGCATATTCTTGATGGCAGCTTTACAAAATTATTTTTTGACAAAGATGCATTGTTTCTGGCAACTTTCTGGCAATTACCGACTTCCTTAGAAAAATCTATGGCTCTGTGTGTATGGATAGCAGACAGCTGAATCAGTGAGTAAAATCTGATACCAGCAGGGAGGGTTGTAGTTTGTAGTTGACATAGAATTTCTTACATCCTTTTTCTTACTTCCATCTTCCCAACCCCACCCTGCACATTTGTTTAGCTCACCTGTTACAGCTTAGTCTTTGTCCTGCGAGCTCTTGGGGAATACTTTGTCACTGGTGCTGTGTTTGTAACTCCTGCAGCACTTTGGTATTTTGGTTGATTTGGCTTCCAGTCTCTATGGAAATAAGTAATAAACAATAGCTTCCATCTGAGATGTTTTTGCTTAAATCGTTAGTGTGTTCCTATCCCAGTCCAACTAAAAACCCAAACAACTTTTTTGCAGTTTGAATAGGCCATTTGTCTGAAAACCACCACTATAAGTAAAATACAAGTTTAAATAGACAACAGTATGAATGAAGGAGAATAACAAATCTAAATTCACTATTTTTATTATGACTGTTGTGAAGCTCGTCTGAAGGAGCCCATGAATGCTACCAAGAGCAAACTTAAGCTCTAGGAAAAATAAGACTTCTGTTTTGTTTCAACGTAGTTCAGCAGAAAAATCTCACAGGAATTCTCAAATGTGATGGTTATGGAAACAGTCCTAGTGATGACCTTCTGCAAGGCACAGATTGGTTGCAATTTACTTACACAATATTTTTATGGTTTCTTCTAGTCTTTCTTAAAAACTAAAACTAAAAATACGATTTGTGATGTTCCAGTGTAGCCAGTGTCACGGTGCCCTAAGTAGAAGCTAGTTGAGCTGCAAATTTGGAATCACACACTTTTCATACCTGAGCTTTACTTCACGAGGGTGTGGAGTTAGAAACTGCTTGCACTGAGTATAGACAGATGAAATTGCTGCAGCTGACTGTTTCCATGAGGAACCAAGTGTTATGGTTATGAGTTGATGACAGGGAAGCAATGTATCTTCAACTTGTAATTAGTAGGGTGATTTCACATTGGCCCTATATCACAGTATAAGGAATATATGGATTTACAACATAGGGTTACCTGGTACATTTATATAAATTTCTCTTTGCAGTGGTCCTTGAAAGTGTTACTGTTCATAGATTACTTTTTAGAGCTAGTGTAATTGTTGTGTAGCAGTTTGTCAGTACTAACGGATTCCATTTCACCAGTCAAACAAAAAAATAACCAACTGAGTTTGCAACAACTGTGAACTGGTAGATGTATGGTCACAGAGGTGAATTTATGACTTTTTATGAGACAGTGCAGAAGTAGAATATACAAGATTTTTCTTTAGAACTATAAAATGGAACATTTTAATATGCACTAATATTTGCATTTCTTTAAGTTTATACCATCATATAAGAAATCAATGCGTTTTAGTATGCACTCATACAGATAGTGTGAAAGTATGAGAGCACACTTGGATTAACTCTTATTTTCATCTACCTAAAGACACTTCATTTTTGCTTTCATTCATTTAAATGTGGAGTTTATTCATAGAAGTAAGAGCTCTTTTATTTCTTTTTTGTTTGAAAAACAGTTAAAAGAGAAGAACATAGGCTGTATTCTGCCCCAGCTGTTTTGTAGCTTTCACTGAGTGTCCTAACACATGAAAAAGCTGCTGTTGTGGAGCAGTCTCATTTTTTAGTCTTGGCTTTCTCCTAATCACTACATTTTTCACACTTTGTGAATTTGTGATGCAGAAAGGAAGTACCTGAAGATTTAAAGTATTTCTAAGGTTGTAATTTCTATTTGGCTTCGTCAGTACGGTGATAGCACTTACTGGCCTTGATCAATAGCAAGGTTTGAGTACTAAAAGAAGCTCTCCAAATGTTAACATTAAGTCTCCTTAGCAGTTGCTGACATAGTAATACAATGTAATACCGATGACATGACCTATAAAAGGCTATTAATTTCCTGATTCTATGAAGCTCTATGTAGAGGCACTGGAGTTCCTTTCAATAGCAGGAGACTTCCATTGTGCTTCCTAGTTCTGGTTCTTCTTTTTAGTGATACTGGTAAAATACCATCACCTAATTAATTTAGTTTGGATTTGAAGGGTTTGTTAGGTTATTACAGTATGTGTTCAGAGTCCCTCAGAGAAATCAACACGTTCCTTTGGGATGTAAAATGTGTCAGGATTATCTATTTATTTAAGTTTCTTAAATACAATTTTTCAGATGACTTTTTGTATTGTATTGTATCTATTAGAATCTTTATGTACTACCAACGCACGTTACAGTAATAGAATCCAAACATTAAATACTCTGAAGACAGATTTCAGTGCTAGTTACTACTTATCAGATCGGACAGATAATTTCACTCTGCCACAGAAAAAGTAGTTGATCTTGAGATAAAAGAAAAAAAGTCTTGAGGTCTTGAGTCATTTTTAGAGAAGCCATCACCACTAATTAAAGGAAGTGCAATTATATTTATCTCTTCCTTCAAGAAGAAGAATAGAATATATAAGAAAACAAGCTCTTGATTAATTTTATACTGAAAACACTTTTCTTTTTTTTTTTCAGATGGAACATCATCTTTTAAATAACCAATGTGTGGATTGAATGAAGTTAAAGATGTTTCTTTCTTTCATGGTTTTATAAAATCATTATTTACTTTTTTGAAGAATCATGAGTAGTAGCTGCAGAGACAAAAGATCCTTTGTATGTTATAAGTGATATTTTGACTAAGTGCTCTTGGTTGATTCTGGCTGTGGAATTTCCCTGCTTACAAAGTGATTTTGAAGGGCTGCTTAATCAAACCAATATTTTTCATCTTTCTATCATAACACTTTTGATATATTGCAGATAAAGTAAATTTTCATGCTTTCATTCCACATACTTACCAAAATTTGCAACTGTATTGTGTGGACAGTGATCACAGAATGCAAATGGATTTGTTTTAAATAAAGTACTCAGTGACAGTTGGTGCCTCACACAGGCAAGTGTTTAAAGTCTACTATTGATATGTAATTTCTTTGTATTCACTGCTGAAAATTTGGAACATAAATTGGTTTGGGATTGGTCTACAATTCAAAATTTCCATTAATTGCAGAGGAGCTTTTCTGGTGAATTCAGTGTGAAGCTGGAGGAAACCAGTCACAAACATAATAGAGGAGCTTTTCTGTAACACCTGGCTTCTCAAGTTATAATAGCTCTTGCTAGATCAACTAGTACAATAGGGAAACACAAATGATTGGGCATATAAATCCTTTGGGTCTGAAACAACAGCAGCAGACTTTGAACTAATGGTGTAGTTTCAGAAGATGTCTGCTGTCACTGCTACTGAAAGAGGGAAATGCTATCTCAGACATTGAGTCCTGCCAGTCATTGAACCCTCAGACTGATTAAGTTTAACTTAACTAGCAAGAAATTAATACAAATGAACTTACAGATGGATCCCTTTTTTGGTATAACTGTCCAATAGATCAGCTCCACTATTCAGGTAATCGTAGATTTAGGACAAGTTGGAAATAGTTGCTTTGAGTTTATTGTAATTATGCCAATCAAACAGACGATTTTGAGGGAAAAGTATGTTTATCACCTATAAAACAAAGGGAAGTAGAGGGAGAAATCATGAGGTAGTTCTCCATCACGGACAGAAAGAATGTAGAGGTGGTTACTGTAAGAACACAGAAAGCTCTAGTTGAAGGTGAAATGTGGGAAAAGTGTCATTATACTCTATGGGCACGATGACACTAAGTCTGTAATTGGTGCTGTCTGGAAAGTCTGTGAGTCCTAGTTTCCAGGTTTGACTTGGTGTGATGAGATCTGAGAAGTGAGAGGTGGAATTTTCTGATGAAAAATATTCTTACTGAATTCATTCCAGCATCTGGGGTTCTTGACAATGTGTATTTACATTGATGGAAGAGCTGCATAAATAGAGCAGTGTATATTGTGAAAGCAGTTCTTCCATATTTCACTAAGGTAATCTCTGGGCTTCCTGTCTTGGATACTTACTAAATTGCTGCCTTGGAAATGGGTTTGGGTCAGAGGGATGTGAAGCAAGGAGGAAGTTAGATGTTCTCTGAGTCCAGACCACTAGGTGCAGACAGACTCCGCACCTCTGACTTTTTTCCTGGTGGTGGGGAATCCTTCCCACCACCCCCATCTGCCTGTTCTATATGGGGGCTCTCAGGCACCTCTGACATATAAAGAACACTTGCAAAGACCTGGCCCAGAATTGCTGATAAACCACATCGCGTGGAGCCATACCAACTCAGCAGCAGAATTTCTGTATTTGGGGTATGGCAGGGTGTTAGGTGGAAAAATGAGACAGTTCTAATGTAACTATTTTAAGGCTAAAGGACTAAAATAGTAGGATGTTTCATAGTTTAGGCTATTGGTGTGACCATAATTCATCCATGAGTATTATAATACTCATAAATTCTGTTCTTTAAAGGCTTTCTACCCAGCATCTTATTCACAGCACAGGTGTAAAGTATGTGAGGAATGAATAATTACGATTTGAGAGATTGGTTTTGCCTAAAGGTTGTCTGTGTAGACAAAGGAGCATAACAGCCAAATTGGGTTCAGGGAGAGGTGCTAGTCATGCAGGTATATGTTTCCGTAAAGAACTTGGGTGTGCTGTTTGGAGATACAAAGGTACTATTTTATTCCTTCAACTAACTGTGTGTTAGGGCACATCTATGTGATTTTAAGCAGCTGTAAGCTCCCGCTGCCTGCGCTTGAAGCCACGGGGCAGCTACCCAACAGCGGTCAGCACGGTGCCCAGGCCGAGCACCCGCGTGGTGGCTCAGTGCCATGGTAACACCCGCACAGGCCTTCCCTCAGCTTACTGCACCACACGGCCTTGTCCAGCCGGGGGTGGGGGGGCAGCTTTCAGGCTTCCTTGTGGATAAAACAAACAAGATTCATGCACAGAATTTTATCAGGAGAAACTAACCGTTGCTTCTAGAGCTGTGACAGCGATCTCATGGATGAGTTCTGAACGTGGTATTTGTGGGAAGAGACAGGCAGATTGGAGTAAAGAACTAATGATATAACTGTGTGATAAAAATCCACAATGCTGAAAGCTGGACGATGCAGGGCCTTCCTGTTGTCCCTCAAGAAGTGGGGTGGCATTGCTTACTGGAGTGGCTGAGACTTGCCTTGTTCACAGAGATGAGTCTAAGCATTCCTTGCAGGTGACAACTAGAAGTTGATTTCTGTGTTTTTCTACCATTGAGAAAAGCATAAACATTGCTGAGCATCCTGAACAGGGGGATGTCTCAGGAGCCTGTGCTGCAGGAGCATTTGGTAATTCAAGCTAGGTCAGACTGCTTAGTGCAGTACTGCTCTAAAAGTGCGTGATAAAATATTGGCATTAATGATTGCAAGTATTCAAATATTTGACAGGAGTGTTACAGGAACTGTTAAATTGCTTCCCATGTTAGTGTAGCTGCTAAACTATAGTAACTTTTCTTTTAATAACTCAATTCTATTTATCTTGTGGGCTGCACAGGTTTTAAGTAGTGGCTAAAAAGCCTGGTACTCCATCATTGCTCATTTTATGATGTTAACATGAGCAACACTCGCTTGGAAGTCACCAGCTCTGTATGCATCATTCCCTGGAGCTATACCAAGTACACGGATGCAGTGATTCCTTATAAGCTATATAGCTGAATAGTGCAAGGATATCCAACTGCTGAATGCACAGTTGCCGTTCTTTTTCTACCGTGTACCAAAATCAAACAGTCTAGTATAGCCAGAACCAGAGCAGAGCAGGAGCCCAAAAACATTTTTGAATGCTACTAATGTAGAGAGAAATCTCTGTTACAGAATAGTTGCTTTAGAAGCTTGTACTTTCCTCTGGACCATGCACAGATGCAGAAGGAGATTTTTAGGCTGTTCTCCTTCTCAAGGAGAAAGGCAGTAGATCAGATCTTTGCAGAATACCAGTTTAAAGTATCTTCATAGTTAGGAGGTCCCCGCAGGAATGAACTGCATTGCATTGAGTACTTTGTAATTATTTGCACCAGAGGCCACTGGGCTTAATGACTAAGAGTCTTTTTCAAAGGTGATTTCCTGTAAGCAAGTAAATGATAAATATTTTAAATCTGGAGAGCTGGAATTGCAGTCTGTGTAAATGTATGTTTACCATCTTTTTTTTTTTTTTTTTTTTTTTAAGTCTTAAACTTGCACTTTTCTTTGTAAGACTTCTATTTCTGAGTTAGCAAGGTTTCATATTCAGGGTTTTACTTTTTATTTATTTATTTATTTTAATGTACCTGCTTATCTCACAAATGCAAGGGACCAACCAAAACACCAGGTAGAAGATACATTTCAGAATGAGAAGAAACTTGAGTAAACTAAAAAGAAGTCGCAGAAGGGTTGTGGAGCAGAATCTAGAGTACAAGTTCTGGTATGAAATTCTAAATATTTTCCTTGGAATTCAGGTCCCTGCTCTGAAAGGCAGACCTCACTGAATATGGAGTATAGCATGTAAAATAGTTCCACTGAGTCTGTGCTGGCCAGGCAATGATTACTTCTTACTAGAAAAACTAAGTTTAAATGAGTTTAGACTACCATAGTTCCTATTCTTCTGTATAGGTTATCCACCACAATATTTTTCATGCTTTATCTAAAGGTTGAAGCATCTTATAGGTAAGAACAATTTTATGTATGAAAATTGTCTATGAAGATGGAACAACTTTCTAGTACTAGATTCTTTTTGCCACTTGCATGATTTTTCTTGGACAGATGAGACTTTTCAATAATAGTATATCTAGTGTAATTTGTCAGTAATTTATAAGGGTATGACAGGGTCCCTTGTAACACTTGGATGTTTAAATTTTTAAATGACCTTTTATCTTCCTTTATGGTGGGCAGTATTCAAAAAGTATATAGAAAGTAAAGCAACATATACCCCTGTAGCCCAGCAAAAGACAGCTTTTGGATACAAGGGAGAGCTATGTATTGCATTTGCATAACATGTTGGTCTCAGTGTAGGTTAGATATGTGCTCAGCATTACGGTTTTCTGTGAAAATACCATTCCCCATTTGTTCTGTATTAAACCCTTCTCCATTTATATTTTTATGCTCTTTGAAAATAAACATATAAAAGATGTGTTGTTTTAACAACTGATAAAAGCAAACTAGCTAGGGTGCAGAATGGTCCAAGATCAGCTTTCCATAAGAGTTCTTTCTGAAAGAAGAGAGATGGACTTGAGTGAATGTCTCTTATTTATTTTGCAAATAATCATAGAATGGTTTGGGTTGGAAGTAAGGAGAAGTAATAGATGCTTGGGAATCCTAAGAAGTCAGGATTCCTGTCCTTCAGGCTTCAGTACAAGAAACAGCATTGCCTCCAGGTGTAATCTTTAATTCCCTATAAGAGATGGTTAGCTTGCAACAAGAAGTAGATTACACTTGCTCTGCAGTACACTTCAGTTATTGTCAACATATCCTTGTTCTACCCAGAAACTGGCAAGTTAGAGCAGTGCTTGCAGTCTTATTACTTAGTGAAGAAGGTAGCTTTCTGCCTACCTACTTATCTTCATGTACAAGCACTTGTTAGGAGATCATTGGCATTAGTGAGGCATACAGATGTGATTCAGTGGTTTGCGCAACTCATGTCCAAACTGAGTATTCTGAATTCAACCTTCCAGAGGGGTTTTTTTGTTTGTTTGGTTTTGGTAGTTTTTTGTTGTTGTTGTTTGGTTTGTGTTTTGTTTGTTTGTTTGTTTGTTTTTAACTAAAAAGGACAATCAATGTGCATAGCATTTTGAGTGTGTGACACAGTAACACAGTGTTTATTTCAAGAGTCAAAAGTCATAGATTCCAGTCCCCCAAGAAGTCAGTCAACAATAGAGAAAATTGCTTGTGACAATTTCTAATTTATGGCCCTTAAATTTTGATTTCTATTTTATACATATATTTTCTGTCTAAAAACCTACTGTTATGTTTGGGAATTTTTCTTGCCTTTGATATAGTACAGC